AGTAGCTGGGACTACAGGCACACGCCACCATGCCCGGCTAATTTTTTCTATATATATATTTTTGAGTTGTCCAGATCATTTCTTTCTATTTTTAGTAGAGACAGGGTCTGACTCTTCCTCAGGCTGGTCTCGAACTGCTGACCTTGAGTGATCCACCCGCCTCGGCCTCCCAGAGTGCTAGGATTACAGGCGTGAGCCACCGCGCCCAGCCCTCCAAAATATATCTTAATAAAAAAGTAAAATGGAAGACAAAGTCCATCATTTTAATGACTTTATTCAGTAGCAAAGTTAAATTTCCAGTGAATGTATTGTCAACCTAAATAACAGAGAGAGAGATTCTCCAAAGAGAATAAGTCTATTCAGGAATGAGCATTGCAATGTGGAATACACTCACCATAGTAAACTATGGGAGTATTCAGGGAGGCCAGGGAAGACAAGAGTCTTTGAAGGTAAAATGATACGCAAGTTGTTTTGAAACAATTAGCCTTGGCTACAAGGATCAATAACAAGTGTGGTATCAGTCTAAGATTGGACAGGTAGTTGCTGGGTAGATGTTCTTGCAGAAGTACTTTTTGTGTAAGGTTGCGGAGGCCTTTGTGCAAGGTTGTGGTTTTGGTATAATCTTTTGTGATAGTTCTTGGTATCAGGCAATCGTACATGCGTGAGAACCCTCCTTTCATGTCCTTCCTAGCTCCATTTTGTCAAGATTTGACACAAGTGAATCTATTTTGATTCTGACAGCTTTCATAGTATATAGTTAGGGTTTCCTTTTTTAAAAAAGAGGAAAGAAAAAGACTGTTAAAGCAGGTATAATGAAATTTTAATTGTAGTGGAAGTTGCTGTGGATATTAGGTTTTATCCTTAATTGTTCCAACTGTAAAAACAAGTACCTATTTTGCAAACCACCACATTTGTTCAAGGCTAAAACTAAAAATACTGAAATAAGTATAAAGCAGATGTGTAAATTACATGCCCCAGTCAAAAAGATGGGTGACAAGTTATAAAGTTAACATATGATTCTAATTCCTGAAATTCCCAGTAAATCTATGCCAAATTTCTTTCTGTACCTAATTCCTTCTGGAATCTAGAAAGAAATCCTTTCTTTCATTCTATTATTCTTCAATTCTTTCTATTATATTCATTTTCTTTCCATTCATTCTTCAATCCATTCTATTATAAAATATATGTGTGTGTTTGGGGGAAACACATCCTTAATTTGTTTGATTATCTTTCTGTGTGTTTGTGTATCACTATTAAAAGCTCTTTTCTTACAATAAGGAGAGTGGGGTGGGGGAAGCTTTCTAGGTAGGGGAAACAACATGACCAAAGGCAAGGAGGGGGTAACAAATAAGAAGAATGCAGAGAATGTTAAAGACATTTCACAAGGCAAAGAGCTCCTGAAATGAAACTGAAATCGGTGTGATAGGGCTCTTTGATAAGGAGTTTGATTGTAAGCTTCAATGATTTGTGGGAGGAAACCTCAGTGAATATAGTTGATTTTTAAATTCATGCTTTTGAAATTAAAGTATTAAAATTTTGGAGATTCTATGACTTCAAAACTGTGTATAGACTTATTTGGTGAAGCTGGGAAGTATTTGAGGACCTGCAGTGTGCCGAAACCTGTGTTAGGAGCTGCGGTTTCAGTATTGAACAAAACGCCTTTGTTAGGAAGACCCAGCCCCTGCTTGGTCATTGCTCTTTCCTCCCTCACTCTCTACACAGAAACGTGCAGTGACTGGCTTCCCATTTCTCATCCTACTTTCCTGACCTTACTTCACCCTAACGTTTCTTCCTAGTATTCCCACCACCCCTTGAACACGTCTCAGATCTTGCCATCTCATGCCCTAACAATCCTCACCCCCGCCCAGCGGCCTCCCTGCTCCTATTTGTGTATTGTCTTCACCTTTCAAGTCATCTCAGCCTTTACCAGGGATCTTTCCTACTCATAGGGCATTGATTTTTCATAACCATTTGCTTTCCCCCCACATTTTAGTTTTTCTTGCTGTGTTGCATCCTCTTTATGTGTGTGTGTGTGTGTGTGTGTGTGTGTGTGTGTGTGTGTGTGTGTTGCCCCTTTCCCACCAGTCTTCTTGATAACAGGACCTGTGTCTTATACTTCTTTGTATCTTCCTCAGTACACATTGCTAGTGCTGATTTTGTTTTTATACATTTTTTATCTTCTCCCCAGTATAAACGTAGTGTTTATACAAGGGCACAGATTATTGTTTCCAAATGTTCCTTGTGTCTTTTGAGAATATGCAATCACAGTGGTCCTCACTTCCCTAAAAATATGACATTGATGTAACATGTACAAATGGATGTGTCCATTGTGGATTTCTTAATCTTAGGACTTGTGGTATTGTTTCCAGGTGGGCATACCACCGAGATCCTGAGGCTGCTTGGGAGCTTGTCCAGTGCCTACTCACCTAGACATTATGTCATTGCTGACACTGATGAAATGAGCGCCAATAAGATAAATTCTTTTGAACTAGATCGGGCTGATGGAGACCCTAGTAACATGGTAAGTAATCATTTCTATTTCTAAGAAAGTTACAAATTGTGCATTGAGTTTAATTGTCTGGAAATAATCTCATGGCGCTTCAGTGCCCTACCCACAATAGGCAGTCACATGTTTACTGGTGATGAAATTTATGTCCTTTACTACCAAAAGGTAAGAATTTCTATAAATTAAATCTTTAAATTAAAAAATAGTTGCTTAACCTTTTTATATTTTCTCTTATTCTTTTAAATAAAGAGAACAGTTTTTCATTGAATTCAACTATGAAAATTGTTTTATTTAACTTACATACATAAAGCCTCCAGTTCATATGCTTAGTGGCTCTTCATTAAAGCTGTCAGTGTATTGCTTTTATTGATAATTTGATTTATCTCCAACTGCTTCCTATTCTCCAAATCGTATTTGTATCTGCCTTTAAAATTACTTCTCTTCCCCTGGTTGCTCGCTTCATTTTAGCGTTTTAGTTAGAATTTGGGGTTTTCTCTCTTTTTTTTTTAAAGGTAAAACTACTTCTTTATTAAGGAAGGAAACTAGAGCTATTCCTTGTGTAAAGTATCTTCCCCTCTCTCTGGGCACTGCCCAGCCACAGGGCCGCAATGGGTAGTCCAAGAGTGGACAGCTGAAAAAATACAAGACGAGACTGCTGACCCAGCTCAGGCTAATCAAAGTCTTTCTATGGGCTTTTTGGACTTAGAGACCCAGAGAATGGAGTCAGTCTCTCTTCTGGGGCAAGCTCTGTAAAAGGTACAATTTGGGAGTTGCTGGCAGTCATGTTTTCACCTATTAGATAAGGATAGTATATAGATAGAAGAGTGAAGATAGTATACAGCAAGATGAGAAACCAGGTGAGTCCTGCCTTCAGTGACTCAAGAGGCCCTGCCGCATCAGTGTAGACCCTGCCTTGGTTGTTCTTCTCTTTCTTGGAAATCAGGATCCGCTAATATAACCCCTCCCCCACTCATCTTGTTTCCACCCCCACCACACATACTTTTTTTAAACTTGGTTGAATTGAGTTTTGGTCAATTGTAAATATGATTCACAAATAACACACTATTAGAATGTATTCTTGGAAAATCCATGGCAAACAAGATTGGAATGGGAATCTGCTTGCTATCATTCAGCCATAGCAAAATGTGTGGTACTTTTTTCTATATGGAAGATAAGCCAAAATGCTTCCATTTCCGTTTTAGGAATCAGTACTATTTTAGTTTCCCCGGGCGCTCTAACAAAATGCCATAACTGGGTGGCTTAAAACAACAGAAATGTATTCTTTCACAGCTCTGGAGGCTAGAAATCGGAAATCAAAGTGCCATGCTCCCTCTGAATTTTCTGAAGAGGAATCCTTCCTTGCCTCCTCCTGGCTCCTGGTGGCAATGCTTGGCATTCCTTGGCCTGCAGCTGCATCATGGAATCTCTGCCTCTATCAGCACAGGGGCCTTTTCTATGTCTTTGTCTTCACATGCCTTTCTGGTGAGGACACCAGTCATAGAATTTAGGGCCCACTCTAATTCAGAGGGACCTCATCTTAACTTGATTACATCTGCAAAGACCCTGTTTCTAAGTAAGATCACACTCCCAGGTTCCAGTTAGACATGAGTTTTGGAGGGACACTTTTCAGCTCAGTGCAGACGTGTATACTAAACTATTTCAGGAAAGTCTATTTGATATAAAAAGCAAAACAAACTTTTTAGAAAGTGTTAAAGGAGAGAATAGTAGAGCCCGTTGATATGGCAGTAATGTTCCTTTCAATAATTGTGAGGCAGATAGTAGTATCCTCATTTTACAAATGAGAATATTGAGGCTCAGTGGTGTAAATAACTCAACCAGGGTCCCACCAAATATGTGTCACGTACCTCCACATGTCTTCTCCAAAGCCTGTGCTTCTCCCACTTAGTGACTCTGCCTCTTTTGTGTATTCTTTTACAATTCAAAAAATTCAGTGAGAGAAGAATGCCCGGGGAGTTCTCATCCAAGGCATTAGAGACTAAAAATGTCATTTAACATCTTGTCTTAAAGTGTGTTTGAGAATTGGTAGAGAATTTGGAAAAAATGATGGTGATTTTTCACACAAGAAAAATGTAAAAAGTATTATAATTTACCAGTGGCATAGAGCACTTAAAAATATATAAAGGACAAAATAATCACAAAATTCTTACTGTTTTTTCCATATATGGAACAGATATCTTTGATTTTACTTAATTATTAGCGTGCATATTCTTCTTTCTGAAGTTGCATCCAAATTGGAGGCTCCAGTTTTTAGTTCAGCATATGTATTGAATATATCCCTCTAGATCTACCACCATATGTATTGTTTATTTGTTGAATTATTTCATAGTTTACGGAAACATTTGGAAGATTGTTATATACTATGCATCGCAACACTTTAGAACTCAGTAAATTGGGTTTGATTCATATTGATAAGAAAGCCAAAGATTTTGGATTTTTAAATTGCCATTATTTTTTATTATCAAAATGGTACCACATATAGGACTGAGCATCTCTATTTGACTTCCTTCCTTTGTTAATTAATTTCCTGCTGAGGTAGTGCAACCACTGTTAGAGAAAAAATTCTATTCTATTCCTGAAAGGGTCTCTACTCATGAATCTGAAGCTGGGAAGAGCTTTGCAGAGATGCAGAAGAGAGCTGTTGAGGGTGATAACATGGACATTTCTGCTGGCCACACTGTGTGTGTGATGGGGAAGGCACCGAAAGAAAAAGAGATAGAGATAGTAGAGAGATAAAGGGAGGGGCCCACCTACTGGTCTCTTTCTGCACTACAGCTCAGCCATCTTTTGTACCTTCCATGGAGCTCACTAAGAAGAGAGGATCTCGCTGAAAAAATCGTAGTGATCACTACATTTGCTGGAAGAGCCCATATCAGCCATGAATAATGAACAGTCTAGACCTGTTTCTGTCCATTATAATAGTCACCAGCCACATGTAGCTATTTATATTTCAATTTAAATTAATTAAAGCTAAATTTTAAAATTTGGCCCCTTAATTGTACTAGCCACATTTCTAATGCTCATTGCAGAATAGAACCCTAGACACTGATCTATTTTTTTTTCTTTTTTTAATTACCTTTTTCTTTTTTTTTGTCTTTCTTAGCTTCTCAGTGCTGCTGGACCTAGACAGTAATCTAGATGTTTATTTATAATTATAAGCTGAAAATAAAACGTGATCAGACATTATTATAAAGAGAATTAACAGGTTCAAAGCAAAAGGCCCCTGCCAAAACAGTTAATATAGAAATACATCTTCTACAATATTTGTTTTAAAAGAAAGAAAAAATAAATAAAAGAAATACAAAATAACTTTTTGGTTTTTTGCAAGATAGAGTCTCACTTTGTCACCCTGGCTAGAGTGCAGTGGCATCATCATAGCTCACCGCAACCTCAAACTCTTGGGCTCAAGCAATCCTCCTGCCTCAGCCTCTGGAGTAGCTAGGACTACAGGCATGTGCCACCAAGCCCAGCTAATTTTTTTCTGTTTTTGGTAGAGACAGTGTCTCACTCTTGCTCAGGCTGGTCTGGAACTCCTGACCTCAAGCAATCTTCCCGCCTCAGCCTCCCAGATTGCTAGGATTACAGGCATGAGCCACTGCACCTGGCCCAAAATAACTTTTTAAATTTCATATTATCATTGAAAGTCAATGAGATAGTCCATTAATTAAACAAAAATAATCTATTTTACAAAAGAAGCAATCTCAAAACAAGAAAGATTCCTGGGAAATTAAAACAAAATGATTATCAAAATTAAAAGTTCTGAGTCAGTAATTATCAGATTAAATACAGCTAAAAACCTCATTAGTGAATTGGAAGTCAAGCTAAAGGAATTCTTCAGGCAAAAAGACAGATATGAGGGGAAAGAATCATGAAGTGTCAGGAATGAGAGGAAAGAAAATAAAAGGAAAAAAAGGTCTGGAATAGATTTTTACTACCTTTCTCCTATCTCAGGTATCTTTATTTAATTTAATTAAATCTCATCTTGACAGCATCAGTTATGTAGTTTTAACTCACCACTGTTTCTTGTATATCATGTCTTCTTTGGAATTCATTTCATCTTCTATTTGGCTCAAGTATTTCCTTGAGTTTTTTTCTCTAGAAAGGTTACATGGGCAATGTATTTCCAGTCCTTCCATCTCTGAAAATATCTTTGTTGTAACATTATGCCCCACCAGTTTGGCTTGGTGTGCAATTCTAATTGTAATGCTACATTTCTTTTCCCCTCAGAAGTCTGTAAATACTGTTCCATTGTCTTCTAGCAGTTGGAGTTCCAGAAAATGTGTTTGATGCCAGTTTAATTCTCCTTAGAATTCTGAAATTTAACCAGGTCATATCTACATGTCTGTTTTTTCATGGATTCTTTCTGGAATTCAGCAAACTTATGATCTTTCTTCAGTTCAGCATTATTTTCTTCTATTTTTTCTACTTGTCTCTTCTGTATACCAATCCCTTTGTCATATTATATATGTGTCATATATATGTCATATGTATACACATACACACATGCACACACACACAGTTGTTCCTTGTTATCTATGGGGGGTTGATTTCAGGACCCCTCCCAGATACCAAAATTCATAGATACTCAAGTCCCTTATATAAAAGGCTACAGTATTTGCATATAGTCTTAAATCATCTTTATACTTTAAATCATCTTTATTTATCATCTTTATAAATCATCTGTATACTTTATACTTTAAATCATCTCTAGATTACTCATAATACCAAATGCAATGTAAATACTATGTAAATAGTTGTTTTGCTTTATTGTTTAAGAAATAATGCCAAGGGAATAAAAGTCTTTACATGCTCAGTGCAGATGCAACCATCCATTTTTTTCCCTCCAAATTGTTTTCAGTCCACAATGGGTTGAATTCATGGATGCAAAACTCGTGGTTTCAGAGGGATAACTGTGTATATATATATGTGTTTTTTCTTCCTGCTTATTCTTTCACTGTTTTATGATGAAAAGTTTTTTTTTAAATTTTTTTATTTCA